GAGAAGCCAGGGAAAAAGCGGCTGTGCGTGGACATGAGGAAGCTCAACGAGCGTACGAAGAAGGATGCGTATCCAACACAACACGTGGAGGGAATCCTAGCTCGCCTGCGCGAAACATACTATGTTTCAGGCATCGATCTTAAGGATGCCTTCTGGCAGATCCCTTTGGAGCGCACCTCCAGGGAGAAGACGGCGTTCACGGTACCGGGGCGTCCGTTGTATCAGTTCAAGGTCATGCCTTTTGGACTGTGCAACGCCAGTCAGAGGTTATGTAGGCTCATGGATAAAGTTATACCGTCTCGGCTAAGAGAGAACGTGTTCGTATACATCGATGACCTTCTGATTTGTTCTCCCGACTTCGAGTCCCACTTGAAGCACTTGGCGGAAGTCGCGGAGTGCCTAGCAGGCGCAGCACTTACAATCAACCTGGAGAAATCGAAGTTTTGTCAGAGGGAGATTAAGTATCTAGGGTTCATCGTTGGCCAAGGAGCGCTGAAACCGGATCCAGCGAAGATACAGCCCATTCTCGAATTTCCGGTCCCAAAGACCATGAGGCAGCTACGCAGATTTCTGGGGATGTGTGGCTGGTATAGAAGGTTTATACCAAGTTTCGCTGCCACTGCCGCCCCCATGACAGATTGTCTTCGAAAGGGAAAATCGTTTAAAATGACGGAGAAAGCAGTCGAGGCGTTCAAGGAATTGAAGGAGGCGCTTACTTCAACGGATGTATTGATAAACCCGGATTTCAGCAAGCACTTCTACATCCAGTGTCCTATTTCAGAAGGACGAAGAAGGGAATGAGAGACCCATCGCCTTCATGTCCCAGAAGCTCAACTCCGCCCAGCGCAATTACACCATTACAGAGCTGGAGTGCTTGGCTGCTGTCGTGAGCGTCAAAAAGTTCCGCGCGTATGTCGAAGGGCTTCCATTCACGGTTATTACAGACCATATGAGTCTCAAGTGGCTTATGGGACAGAAGGATCTGTCCGGACGCTTGGCCAGATGGAGCCTAAAATTGCAAGCCTTTGATTTCAAGGTGGAACATCGGAAGGGGTCCTATAATGTCGTCCCAGATGCGCTGAGTCGAATGCACATGGAGGAGTTGAGCGAAAGGGAACGATCAGGGGAGATTGACCTTTCTTCACCGGAGTTCTCCAGCGAAGCCTATGAGTCACTTAAACGGCATGTAAGCGAAAATTCAGAACGTTTACCGGATTTGCGAGTGGTGGATGGAAGGGTATTCAAAAGAGTGTGGTTCCGGCGGGCGAACGAGGGGGAAGAAGCAACGTGGAGATTGTGGGTACCGGAGGGTCTAAGGCAGCACCTCCTCTACAGACTGCATTGCGATGTTACGGCTGGGCATGGAGGAACGGCGAAAACCCTGTGGCGATTGCGAAATCGTTTCTATTGGCCAGGCATGGCAAGTGATGTGAGGAGCTTCGTGGCGGAATGCGAACCCTGCAAGTGCGCCAAGGCTCCAAACATAACCTCCAGACCTCACATGACAGATAGGTTTTGGTCTGAAAGAGTTTTCCAGCGTCTTTACATAGATTTCTGCGGGCCTTATCCCCGATCGAGAGCAGGTAATACGCACGTGTTTGTTGTTTTAGACCATTTATCCAAGTTCGTCTTCTTCAGACCGACGAGACAAGCGACCGCGCACGAGGTCATAAAGTATCTGGAGAACGACATTTTTCATGTATTCGGCGTTCCCGAAGTGATACACTCCGATAATGGGAGACAATTTATATCGGAAACGTTTGGAAAGTTTCTACAAGGATATGGGGTAAAACATGTCAGGACTGCGCCATATGCTCCACAGGCAAATGCGTCGGAGCGAGTAAATCGGTCGTTGCTGGCCATGATCCGCACATATCTGTCGGAAGAGGATCAACGAACTTGGGATCAACATGTATCCCACGCAGCTTTTGCGTTGCGAAGTGCGGTTCACGAAGCGATAGGATTGGAACCGTATAAGGCCATATTTGGGCAAACAATGGTTCAGCACGGGAGCACTTATGAGCTGCTCCGTAAACTCGATGCGCTCAAGGAAGGCGATTTGGAAGTGGTTTCCAGAAATGACCGCATGGAGCTAATGAGAGAAAAATTGATTCGTGGCCTTGAGGGAGCGTACAGAAAGGGACAGCGGTCGTACAATACGAGGGCTTGGGCCGTGAGTTTCCGCGTGGGACAGATCGTCTACCGAAAAAACTTTAAGTTGAGCAACGCGGCGGAGGGGTTTAACGCGAAGCTAGCGCCAAAGTATTTAAGATCGGTGGTGCGGGGAGTGAAAGGGAATTCTCTATATGAACTCGAAGACTCGTCAGGTCGGCCGGTGGGTGTTTATCACGCCAAGGATTTACGCGTTTGAACGGCTTCGCACATATATTAACAAGGACCGGCTTTTCGAGTGCTTCTTCACGGTAGGCGTTGCTGAATCGGTCGCCCTGTTGCGGTCACACTGATTTTAACCGGTTGGTGTTCGCGAATGCGACCCTGAACTGCCTTTCCGAATGCACCCCAATCATATGGAGTTTGACGTTTAGCTTTGTGAAGAGAATTCGCTTAGGAAGGAAAAATTTCTATCAAGTTCCTTCTTTTTTCCTGCGGCCGTACTGGGAGTTGGACGAAATCAAGAAGACACTACTAAGTCCGAAGCGAAGAGCAAATTCCGTGGAAAAAACTACCACGTGGTCGAAGGTGAGACGACGCCATTAACCCAAGGTGAACAGATTTTGGCACAGGCAAGTTCTGCAGGTGCAAGTGTCGTGTTGGCCTAGCGATTTTTCTTTCTGAGAGCCGGTGGCAGCGGCTGCCGAAACTTGAAGTTTTGGCGTGCAACATCACGTGGTTGGCTTCGCAGGTGAGACCTTTTCCCGGCGTCCAGTTTCATGGCCGGCGACCAAATTTTAGTGAGAGTTTTCAGCAGCCGTACACTGGCCATCCCACCTCCGCCTCCTATACCACAGGTCGGGAGCGTGAGGGCATGAGCGTTATACCCTTGTTTCCAGGAATTATAGTAGGGTAGTTACAAGTTCCCGCCCGAATGTAGTTATTGAGACTACAGCAACGCAACGAATCTTAAGCAGGTGTCTCGCCGCTTCTAGTCCTAGACAGTTAGTCTAAATAATCATTCTTTTTCGATTTTTATAATATCCATCAATTCATTCATCGTCCGGCGGACAGAAAGCGCTGATTCAACTTATTGTCATAGAATCCCTAATGATGTTTTGTACACTTTATCAAGAAATGAAGAGTGCATATATTTGTTGAGCATTATATTTCACCACTAATTTTAAATTTTGATAGGTAGAATTAAGCCTTTGTAAGTCGCATGGTCTCGCACGGGTTTGCTGTTTTATCAGAACCGTAGCGCTGGTGAGAGGAACAGGTAGGGAGCTATAGTGGGGCGAACATATTTCCGCAGCTCGGGTATTGCATGCAAGACGTCTTGTAGGTGGTAGGTTGAGGATTATAGCGGGTTACTTCGTGTTCAGAAACCCTACAGTCTCCGAACCAGTTCACCTTATCAGTTGGTGAATCTTATCAAGTTGTAATTCTTGCGAAACAGGCCGAATTGGCGAAGCAAGCGAGATTAGGCGGCAAAGTATTGTAAACTTAGTGTTCCATTTGATTGAATTAAATTGTTATTTTTTTAGTGTTCCGAAAAGCACACGAGCGTTTGAACGCGGCCGTCTGAACAGGCCATATTAGCCGTAAACATTAGTATTAATATGTAGGTTAATTTTGAATAAAACAAAATGTATTGATTGCCTTACAGGAATGTGTCGTTAATCATTTCGGATGCGAGACGGACGGACGGACGGACGGACATAGCATTAGGGGTTAGGATGGGAAACGGGCCGTGAACCGGAGAGTTACGGATTAGCTTCGGGGTCGGTAAATAATGATCACCACAGCCGACCAAGGTAGGGTGGGATGAAGAAGGTCTGCCATATTACAGCTTTGGCGCGGGGCACCTCATCTACAGGAGAGGGTGTCGGACGGTAATTGGGGGGGTAGAGGGGAGTGACTGGGCGGGAGCGTGATGGCCCCTGACAATTATGTAAGCGGGTACGGAATTTTTTTGTATGGTGCGGTCGGCATGCCAAGTGAGTCGCAAGAACCACCCCATAGTCCGGCGAGCTAGCTCGTGCTTAGAAACAAGCGTACCCAGGCGGCTCGGGGCATGCAGAATGAGGATGTGAGGGCAGAAGTGGAGGCGCTAGCGTCAGCGGCGCAGAGGCGAGCATCCGGCGACCCGTACGCAACATAATAGAAAGCCATAAATTTGAAAAAATGACTACGACAACAAGTAACATTTAAATTTAATCTTTTTTATTATTGCCTAAAAATTTTGATAAAAAAGAGCCTTATAAAATTGTAACGTAACATAACATGTCATAAGATAACATTAACAGTCTATACGACCTAAAGCAGTTCCCTAAGTTCATCAGAAGATGGATACTTTTGAAAGTTTATAAATAAGTATGATAGCGACTTTTGGAAGAAGACTTAACATTTGATGCTATTTTTTCAGAATATAAAAAGATTTTGCTCTCTGTTGTTACTGGACATGAAACTACTTTAAATACTGGTACGTAATCCATCAAAAACTAAAAATCGAACAAATTTTACATAGCGCCCTTTGCAAGTCGTCGTTTAAAGTACAAAACCGCGTATCAACAAAATGCAAAACCGCGTATCATGATAATGCAAAACCGCGTTTGTGAGGTTGCATTTAATCACCACCAACAATTTTTTAATTGTGTGAAATTTCATAATAAAACTTTTATGTTAGCTTGCGAATTCCTTATAGTTATATAGCTTTAGCCGTTTAAAGTTTCTGAAATACAACAGTACGACAGTATACAACTGTTTGAAGTCGGTGCCCATGCTGGCTAATTTAGATTGTAACGCATACACCATGATGTAAGTCAATTCTTGAATCTCTTGCGGTCGATCATCAAAAAAACTCTTCTTTTTGGCCACTGCAAAAGAAAAGGTAAAGTAATATTTATAATTAAGAACACCTTTTCATTTTATACTCACGCATTGTCAATTTTTCCAACTTGGCATATGCACTTGCTATGTTTTTGCCAATATATTTTGTGACCATCATAAATTCCTGCACCATAGACTGTAAGAAATGCGTAAACATAATAATGTAAACATCTTCAAATGCACTTCTACTTCTAACTTACTTGTAAGTCTCTAATCTGTTCCTCGTACATAAATTGCGTCTACGTCAAGGTCTCTATACGATTGCCGCCTTGGTTTACATTGGCCTTATCCGACAACTGGCGTATGATAAGCTGCGCCATTTCCAACTCATTTGACTTTTCTTTGAACTGATGTTCAACATCGGGAGCACGTTCCTGCATTACATCTAACAGCCTTTTCATTTCATCCAGATGAGCCGCTTGATATGGTTTGATGTGTGTGAAGGTTTGTTTACAAAGTGAATTTTTGAGTAGTTGAACAAATGCCAGTGGGCAGCCAGCGTTCCAGTTGATGGCAACAATTTGCAGGCTTGGGCCAGCGTTTGTTGCGGTTGCCGGAAAAGTAGCTAAATAATGAAAGTAATTATATGTATAGCGGAGTAGGAGGTTTTCCTTTATTTTAAAAGCTTGGTTACTGATTTCACTAATTGACGACGATGCAACGAACACCGTGGAATCGTTCTGCAAATTGTTACCAGCAACTGACCCGCTGGCTGCCCGCTGGTATTTGTTCAATTACTGAAAAAATGCAAATCATTATAATGATTGCAGTGATTTAACACTTTCAGCGATTTGCATTGCATTTAATAAGTACACATTCTTTACTTTTAAACAACCAATTTACCATTTAAAACTAAATAATTCCGTAAATCCGCGATTTATTATGTACTTTGTAAACAAACCTTTCAATTTCGCCCCAGCTGTTCGATTCTTCTTCTTTTTCTTATTGAATTCGTCTTTGCTCTCTCATTCTGGTATTTGTTGACGTCGCGGCCAGTTGCTCTCAGCTCGATTGGCGCAATCTTCTATTCTATCATTCTTGTACTGATACTAATCGCTATACATAATACAAATTACGATACTGGTAGCCATGGCTACTAGACCAGAAACTAGACCCCAGTCGCCATACATCATAGGGACATTAGTTGCAAAAGTTACCAAAATGAAATAAAAGTTACCAAGTTACCAAACCGTTTAAAAGTTACCACTTTTGGTAGAAAGTTACCAATTGTTGCAACCATGCACTTGACCCGAGCGATGAGAGTAAAAGAGGGCAAGTATTTGCGCGGCGATCGGATGTCTTGTTAGGCCGTTTAAAATGAATTGCGCAGGAGTTTAATATATATACATATATAGGGAAATCTTGAGATGGGGACATTCTGCGTACTGGCGTATTGTTTCCGAGACTAAGTAGCTGCACTGCCAAGTGCGGTTTCTGTACCTTCGTCAATACTATTTATATGTGTAAATATCAGTAAATAGTTATGCACAAAAAAAAGGTTTAATGACTAATTTATTCGCTAAAATCAAGAGAAACAGGAAATTTCTAGTGCAACTCGCATAAATTCTGAAAAAAAAAATATTGAAAAAACACCCTATCACAGAATTTGGTTGAAGAACGCCCAGAATTCGGTTCCAAACCAAAGCCGAAAGAGGGTTAATGTAAACAAATATACGAATCGTTTATATTTAAAATTTTAAATAAGCGTACGTCAAATATTGATTTCACTTTGTTTATTATTATGGTTTATTTGTGTTAATGGCCTCATTTTTATTTTAATCGCTCCGAGTTTTAAAGTGAGGTGAAAAAAAATTTATCACACTTTTAAAACACCAAACTTAAAACGTCAAACCGGCTAAGCTTTCTACGCCAAACTTTTAATTCAGAAACTGACAATAGAGATCCTGACCCAGAGTCAGTTTTAGAGCCATCAGTGAAGATTCGACAATGTGTGAGTCCGGTCACAGCGATGGAATCAAACCAGCATTCAGTCTCAGGGAACTCAACATTATAGAATCTCTTCGACAAAAGTAATGGTGGCGTACTATCCTGTAGCATTGAAAAGACACAAGTGCTTAAATCTCTGCCGCCTGCAATTTTCGCGGCGCCCCACTCATTGTCATACCAGCATCCGGTTCTTTTTAGTCTGCAGGTGGCCTTTAAGGCTTCCCCACGTATGAAAACACAAAGTGACGGTAAGTGCAGCAGTGCGTCAAGAGCACTATACACCACTCAAAAAAATTAAAGTTAAATAAAGAGGCTATCAAGCAACTATTTTGGTTCTTTACATTGAAACCAGATACATTTTCGTGGACCCCCATTTACAACTCATTGACCCCCATATTTTTTTCACATCACTGTGGACCCCTGGGGGTCCACCTGAACCACTTTGGGAATCACTGCTTTAGACCATATCTTTAATTAATACTAAGTTAATATGCAGATTAATATTTACTTAAGTGTTACGATTTTTTTTCTTAATAAAAACTTGTGGTCGGGAATGATACAAAAAATTAATTTATGATATCTATTTTTTATTCAAAGAACCGCAAGATCGCGCTACAAAGCAAATCTATACAAATATGTATATATTTTGAAATTCGTTTGTTCTGTTCACAAATCTCGAGAACGGCTCTACCGATTGTTTTGTTAACTTTGGACACCTCCCCGCAGCAAAATTTAGAGACAGTCTGGCAAAGCGCTACTTCCGCCCTACAAATTTCAGAACTGTCTCTGAACTACTGCAAAAGAGATGAAGAGCTGGACGGTTGAAACTCACGATTGAGAGAATACAAAGGTTGCGCCGATCTCGGACCGCTATTCCTCTCTTAACGAATTTGACAGAATCGTTGTTTGCATGACGTCACACTGGTGCAACTTGTTTACGTTTTCCTTGCAACATTTTTTCTTCTTCTTCCATTCTTGCTCACGTTTTGGCATTTCTCTCTCGCAATTGCACCAGTGTGACGTCACACAAAAGTTATTCTCAAAAATCCTCTCTGATCGGCGCAATCTTGTATTCTATCATTCTTGGTTAAAACTCATATGTTGCTAGTTGCGCTCAGGGTTGCCACTTTGGTAAATTGTTACCAAAATTGGTAGACAAAATTTGGGTTGGTAAAAAGGTAAATTTTTTCTCATTTTGGTAGATTTTTGATGAACTTTCTGTTCCCGATTTATTTTTCGTATTTATCTTTAAATATATTATAAATTTCTTTGCATGCTTTTTATATACTTACATACGTATAAATATATATCGATATAAGGCGAACATATCGCGCTCCATTCAAAACTAATTTTACTGGAATCCCGAGGAGCTTTTGATTGCCTCAATATTTTAAATGATTATTTAAATATAAAGAAAAATTTGACAGGTATGTAACTATGATTGTTCGCAAAAAAAATCAACGCCATTTTTTATCAAAGAAAAAAAATAAAAAAAATCAACGGGAATTTTAAGCAGCACATTGTTGGCTACACTCAAATAGTATTTGCTTCAAAACTCCAAACCTTAAATTGTTCTAAAAATTCAGAGTAAAAAATTCGAAATTTAGACGAAAATTTTTGGAATTTTTCTATATGTTGTATATAGTTTGAATCCTCGATTTTTTTGGATTTAGTTAAAGCAAT